AAAATAAAGTATAGTAGTCGATTGTTATAGCAGATATACGTATGCTTCATCGAAAATCCCACCAAAAGAATATGTTATGGAAAAAAGGCTTGGACCTCTTGAAAATTCACATTTGCCCGTGTCAAGCTCCCATCCTGCCCTTTCGCGGTTCGACTCCTGCTAAGGGTGTTGATGAGACCGATGCGACGTCGAAACTGCAGTCCTCTCCAGCCGGGATGAGAACAAATTTTGGAAAAGCAAGGCTCTGTGAAATTGAATGAAATCGTCAGCTCAACTTATATCATTGTGGGAAAATTCTTCTTCTACCAGTCCTTCATCACCTTAATCGAAATTGGCTAAATACATTTCATATTACTGATTTACTGGTAGTCACGAAAACAATACTTAATTCGAAAAACAATTTTCGGCAACTGTATTTCAAATGTCTTCCATGTCTGCCCTTTCGCGAGTGCTCAGGATATACCAAAACTTCGTATTGCCTCCAAGATTAAATGCCGCACTGTCGCGGTTCGACTCCCGCTGCGAGGTTGAAACTGCAGTCCATTAGTGCCTGAATGAGAACAACTTGTGGGAAAGCAAGACTATGTGAAATTCAATGGAAACGTCAGCTCAACTCATATCATTGTGAGAAAATTCTTCTTCTACCAGTCCTTCATCACCTTAATTGAAATTGGCTAAATACATTTCATATTACTCATTTACTGGTAGTCACGAAAACAATATTTAATTCAAAAAAAAAATTTTCAGCAACTGTATTTCAAATGTCTGCCCTTCGCGAGTGCTCAGGATATACCAAAACCTCGTATTGCCTCCAAGGGAATCCGTCAAAGACGCCGGTGCTAAGATCCTTTCTTCAACATAACCGATAAGAATAGGCGCGATAGCTCATTTTGCTGCTATGCCTTTGGACACTAGTCAATCGGGATTTGGTAAATCATAGTGCTCGACTTCTGCCTACCTGTCACAGTAGCGACGGGTTTGGGGCGATTGACATTTGATGACGTGATACATCAGCACTGGCGCCTGCTTCAGACACCGACAACCCTGCGACGTGTGTCGGATTGTCAGCTCACTGCGCACCACCGCATGCCGCTCAGACAAGAGCTGAGAGACTTGAGCCTCGGTTGTCGGCAGAACGATACGTGCTTCTGGTGGGCAGTTGATCGGAGTCAGATCGGTGCGAATCTCCTGACGCTGGCAGACTGGGGCGCTCTTAGACACGACCCATTGCACCAGTTGGTGCTCGAGGGCGAATCGGCCGGCACCCTGTTCCAGACAGCGAGTGCGCTTCTTCGGAGGAGGACATGCTGTCGAGACGAGGATGGAAAAGGGAGATACAGAGACGGTGATGAGTGATGGTTGCAATCAAATTTGCTGATAAAGAGTCTCAAGGAGGCATGCTATTTTATTTCAGTGGTGCAATCG